TGCTCATCCTCATTCAACAACCGGCGGCCGCCACGTCCCCCCCCCCCCTTCCCCGCCCGACCCTATTTTGCTGTGTTCCAAACAGCTGCAAAAGTGCCAGGGAAACAAGCCTTCACTGTCCCAGCCCCCAGCAGCTGTCCCCACCAGCACCTCAACCCTGCTGTCCCTGGCACCCGAAATTGCTCTGTGTTCATTCAGGTCTGGCCTTTCGCCCCTCTGGCTGCCAGGAATCGGGTTCAAAGAAAACACAGAAAGGGAGCGGGAGCAGAAATGACTGGTTTGTAAAGCAGCATTAACGTTTGGGGGCTCCTCTAAAGAGAACATACATTCAGTTATGGATAATGCAGTCATACACCATCCCACTGAGCCTTCAGCTGCGTCTGCTAAATGGGAGAGGGGGGTCTCACGGAGAATTTGGGAGCTTCCTTCCAGTAGTTAAGATTTTTGCAGCGGTTATAATTTTGCCTTTAAAATCACCGCTCTTTCCTTGTGGAAAGCCGATCTTTAACTCCAGGGTTAGCAGGATTAAGGCTGAAAAGGATTTTCAGAGGAAGAATTACCTTCTCTTTCCTCCTGTATTTGTACAGGACAACGAGGAGGTGCTGATTCGGAAGAGGGATTCCTAAGCAGGACCACAGGAGAAACAATTAATAATCACAGTAATCATAATTAATCCTAATAAATCTCCATCATTTTGAAAAGATGCCATCCAGGCTGTGCTGGGCAGGAGGAAAGAGGAGATCCTTTGCCAACAGCTCACCTGGTCTTGCTGTGTAACTCATACACGTGTGAGGTTTGATCCTGCAAAAGCATTTTCCTTTCTTGCTGATATTTTAGAATATTTGAGTAAAAGTAACATAATGACATTGAATGTCCCTTTTCTCTGATATCTGCTGCCATGATGAAACCTAGAAAAGGGCTTAGGAATCCCACTTGCATTTCAAGCACTTCCAAGTCCACCACTAACCCGGATCCCCAAGTGCCGTGTCTGCACGGGCTTTGGATGAGACAAGGCTCATTTTATGTGAACAGGAGACAAATTTTGGACCTAAACTGACCTGCAGGCAAGGGAGTCATATAAATTTAGCCTTAAAATCCCATGAGCAGGCACTGGTTGTGTGCTGGAGCTGTCACAAGCACACGCTGTAGGATGGGACCCACCACTGTTGTCCACCTCGAGAGCAAAGTTCTTTGGCCCTTCTGCTGCTGTTTTAATTGAAGTGAGTAGAAAGTTACCACAGGTCTTTTTTTTTTTTTTTTTTAATCTTCTTTTCAGACACCAGGAGCTTTCCTGAAAAGGCCTGAACATTGTTTCACAGCAACCTCCGAGCTGCCACGTTCTCCGGGCAGAGCATTAATCCTGCACATGTCAGGGGCTTATTTTAACACCATGCACAGGTTGCTCTTATCTGATCAGGGCTTGTTTTTTTCTCCCCCTGTAAGACTCTTTCTTTTTGCTCTTTGGAGTTCCCATGTAAAATCTGCTGGCACTTCAAAGGAGGCCAGTTTTTGATAAATGAGAACTTTACCTCTTGTTCAGATTAAGGATAAAGCCCAGCTTTGGGCTGGGCCAACACCCAGCCAGGGGAGGAGTGTGGTGTGTGTTTGCACCACAGAGCGCATCCATCATGTCCAGTGATTCCCACGTGCTTTCATGCTCCAAAAATGCCTTCCCAGTCTTCCACTGAGGAGGAAATTTCTCCTCCCTGGCTCTAGCAGGGCTCTGCCTGCTCTGAAGCCACTGCACACACCACACACTCTTATCCCTGTGTAAGGAATGGGTATGGAAGAGAGGAACTGGGATGGGAGGTCAGGCCACCTCCATCCCAGAGGGATTCTGAGGGTTCCCAAGTGACACACAGTGATGGAGCCAAGCAAGCAGACCTCATGCTGAGTGCCTGATTCCCAGAAACATCGGTGCGAGCTGGCCAGGAACTTTACTGGAGGCCACAGCAAACTCCAAAGAAAATGAAGGAATATTCCAAATATCAACCTCTGCTGTGCCCACGCTGCCAGGAACAGCTGGCTCTGCTCCACAAAATCCTCTCTAAACATATCCCACCTCTGTTCCACCAAATCCTCTCCAAACATCCCCCACGTTGGGCAACAGGAACCTCGGCTCTTCCCTCCCAGCTCTGCACCCTCTCCCTAGGAATCCTGCTGTCAGGGCCTGTGCTGCAGCATCCTGGGGCAGGACAGATGACCCATCCCATGGGATCAGGGCAGGACCTGCCCCACAGCTCCAGCCTTTGGGCAAACATGGCTGGGCCTTTGTCAGGCAGGAACCGAACGTGAGACCCTGCAAGACAAACAGCCCCACTTGAACCCACTTGGTCTCCCAGCATTCCCTCACTCCAGGTCCTGGATGAGGGAACTTCTCAGGAGGTTTCCCAGGTGCTCCAGCTCCCCCCTGTCCCCGTGTCCCCGGTGTGCGAGGCAGGACATCGTCGCTCCCCGCACCAAATCAGCCGAGAACCGACACACAGAGAAACCCTAAACGGTTTGTGCCGCATCCCAAAGCCAGACGTGCCGCAGGACACGCTCCCTGCTCCGCTCCCAGGCACGGCCTCTTCCCTGGGCCCACCTCTGCAGCAAGAGGAAGCGACTCCCAAAAGCTGTCCTCCTTCTACCTGCCTTGGACAAAGAGGAATTGAAGCGTGTGGGCTGGGAAATGCAATTCCCTGCCTCGGGCAGAGCTGGAGAGCCCTGAAAGGCAGCAGCAAGCGGGGAGAAAACTGAAGTCTCTAATTCCTGCTGTCCTTGGGGGCTTCTTTTGCAGGAATTTGACTGGGAGTTGGAGGCAGGGAACAGAAAAGAGGGGCCCTTGTTTTTATTCCTACCTCCGTGGGTTTGCCCCAGCGCTCCGAGGATCCCACAAATCCCACTCCGAGGATCCCACAAATCCCTTCCCAGCCTCAGTCACGCAGCGAGGGCCGGATCTCCCGAGGAAGGTGCTCCAGAAGGAGAGGCTGGCTTGGAAAAGCTGGACTAAAAATAGTGATTATTGCTTGACTCAGCCACCACTAAAACACTGAAATTCTGTGAGTCAGGTAAATCGTAAGGTAAAGTTATTAAAGAGCTGCGAGAGCCCAACGAGTCAGGGTTTATAGGAACATACTTTAATTATATGTCACATGAGGGGGGAAAAAAAGGTTTTGCAAGTGTCCAACAGCCCTGTAATGCCACTGGGCTAAAGCCCAGGGAAACAAACTCTTCCCCGATCTTATTAAGCTTTGGAAGAAAATTTCAATTATTCCTCATTTGAAAATCCAACTTATTTATATTTTGACTTGAGCCTCAAAATAATTTTTTTTTTTAAAAAGACACTTCATAAAATTATACTTAAAATAACTTTGTCAGGAAGTAACTCTCACTTTGTGACTCTGCAAACCGAAAGCTGAAATCTCGAGAAACTACTAAATAAGGAAAACAGAATTTTTAAAAACAAAATAAAATCCTTCTTTGCACTTTAGGAGAATATATGAATTTTCACATAGAAAGCAGATGGGTGTTCAGTTCAAAGCATACGCTTTATTTATTATTACACATTGCAGTAATTAAACAAAACACTCTGAAATCATCACATTCTTATTAGTTTTTAAATGCTGTAATACTCAAAGCCCAATTTCTACATTTTCCCCAAACCAATCTTGTACGTGGGCCCTCTTTTTTTTTTTTTTCCGGGGGGAAGCAGCGGATAAAACTGGAATTTGGGGAGTTGCCTTTTTTTTTTTTTCTCTCTCCAGAGTCGCAATTAGAAGGCTGAATTCCACGGATAATTAAAATCAAATGCTCCAAATAAACGCTGCAAAAGCAGGGCTCGCGCTTGGAGAGGGGCAGCTTAAGCTGATGGGGGAGATTTTAGGGGCAACCCCCCCCTTCCCCCGCACCCAAAGGCTCACCCCGAGGTGCAGCATCCTCCTCCGGCCGGGACCTCCCGCGGGTCCCCGGCCCCGCCGCGGGGAGGGAGCAGAGGAAAGTCGGGCGAGAGGACACGGAGGGTCTCGTGTCGCTTTTTTCCCAGCAATTCCCGATTTCCTCCGCTATTTGCCCGCTGGAGGCAGCGGAGCGAGGCGGGGAAGCGACGCGCTCGGGGCTGCGAGGAGCTCACGGCGGCCCGGGGGGACACACGGAGGGGACACATGAGTGGGCTCTGATCCCCCTGCCATCCACCGACCTCCCCAAAATCCCCCGGGAAAGGGGCTCCGGGAGTAACCGGCTGTGCCAGGAGCTGCTGCCTCTCCGCGCCTCCTCGGGGAGGGACACCGCGGTCCGCACCCGCTCCCCGCTGCACCCCCAAAACCGGGCGGTCCCGGTAATTAAACGAAATCTACTGGAGCGTCAAACACATCCCACCGTCGGGGGAGGGGGGGTGGTCCCCGCCGGTCCCGCGGTGCGGTGAAGCCCCCGGGCAATTCGCAGCGGAAAAAAAAAAAAAAAAAAAAAAACCAACAAAAAACACCAGAGAGGAGCCGAAAGAGGGAGAGGCGGACCGGGGAGCCGGAGCAGGGCCGGGCCGCGTCCAGCCGCCTTTTTCCCCCCCCACCCCAGGTCGTGCAGGGGAGCCCCGGGCGGGACCCCCGTGCGGCACCGGCGGCGCTCGGGCTGTGAGGGGCGGGCGGGCAGCGACCCCCGCCGGCCGGGAGCCCCGCCCCTTATGCAAATCAGCCTTCGCTCCGCACCAATGGGGAGCGGCGGCGGGGGCGGAGCCGCTCGCCCTCCCCTTAAAGTAACTTGTTGCCGGGGGCCCCGCTCCGCACTGGACGTGGAGCGCGGGGCAGCGCGGGGGCCCCGGCGGCTGCAGGACGGCGTGTGGAAGGAGGGGGGGGCCCAAGGCTTCTGGGCTGAATTTTGATTATTTTTATTGATTTTTTTTTTTTTTTTATATTTCTGTGTGTGTCTTTCTCCGCTCGATTTTGCCGTTTTTCTCGCCTTCCCGAGGAGCGCGCGGCGGCCGCCCCCGCGCGCCCCCGGCCCGGCTGTTCTCCCCTTCTCCCTCCCCGATGCTCAACATGACCGAGGAGCACGACAAAGCGCTGGAGCCGCCGTGCAGCCCCGCGGGCACCACCAGCTCCATGTCGCACGTGGACTCGGACTCGGACTCGCCGCTGTCCCCCGCCGGCTCCGAGGGGCTGGGCTGCGCCCCCGCGCCCGCCCCGCGCCCGCCGGGCCCCGCCGCGCTGGGCGCCAAGGTGGACGCGGCCGAGGTGGACGAGCGCTTCCCCGCCTGCATCCGCGACGCCGTCTCGCAGGTGCTCAAGGGCTACGACTGGAGCCTGGTGCCCATGCCCGTCCGCGGCAACGGATCGCTCAAGGCCAAGCCGCACGTCAAGCGGCCCATGAACGCCTTCATGGTGTGGGCGCAGGCCGCCCGCAGGAAGCTGGCGGACCAGTACCCGCATCTGCACAACGCCGAGCTCAGCAAGACCCTGGGCAAGCTCTGGCGGTGAGTCCCGAGCCCGCATCCCCCCCCCCCCGCGCGGCTCTGCCTGCTGTGCGCCTGGATCCCCCCCCTCCCGCCGCTTCTTTAAACCCTTTTCCTGCCGTGTTATTATTAATCCTTTTTTCCTGCGGTGTTTTTATTAATAATCTTCGGGGTTTTTTTTCCTGCCCACGGGAAGCGCTTCAAACTGTGTTATAACCCTACCTCTTACCCCCCGAGCATCCCCGCACGCTGTGAAGGACGCGCCGGTCCTTGCTCTGAAAACCCCCCCCCGAGCAGCGGCTTGGACACCCTCGGTCCCGCCCCAGCGCTGTGCCACACGTGGATTTTCCCTGCTCCATCACGGAGACTCAGAGCTAGGGCCCTTCCCTTGCCTGGCTAGGATTTCCCCCATCCCCAGGCAATGAGACTTTTTTTTTTCTAATTACTTATTTTATGTCTTTTCCTATTTTTTTTTCCTCTTGGCTTGCTAGCTTAACGAGCTATAAACGCACATAACCGATTTTTAGCTGATATTTTAATGAGCTTCCTGATTTCCCTTCTTATCTGCTCAGTGCTTCCCACCGATGCAAACTTTTATTTGGCTGGGGGTATCCCAGCTCTGCCTTCCAAGGCTCTGCCCCGGGCCACATTTTCCCGCGTGCTGTCTCTCCTCCTAACTCCCATCTTTCCTGAGATGCTCCTGCTGCTGCTTGAGCCACTCCCAAGAGTTTGCAAAGAAGAGATCTGGGGCAGGGGGTAGAGTTTGGAAAGCAATAATCCCATCGCGGGTGCCTTTGGGGTTCCTTTGTAAGCACCAAACAAAGCTGGAGATGTTTGTCGCGGTGAGGGGGTGGCATTTGTAGGAAAAACGTGGGAATTATAGTTGGGAAAGGCGTTGAAAATGGGGAAGGGGGATTTTGTTTTGCCCAGCTGTCACTATCTATAGTGGCAAGGGGTTTCATGCCTCTGTGGTTGGTATTTTGATCTGTGGATTTTTGCTCTTTTTTTGCCACAGCAGATTCATTTTGTAATTAACTTGCTGGTTGCTCAACTCAGTGTATGGGAAGTGGGGATGTGCGAGCCTGAAAATAGGCTGAAAACTCTTAGGGAACAGATACTAATTTTGGATTTTTTTTCCCCCCCTTTCTCCTTATCAAAAAACCCAAAAAAAAATCCACACCAAACCAGTTTATTGAGCGAAAACGAGAAACGTCCCTTTGTGGAAGAAGCCGAGCGGCTCAGGGTGCAGCACAAAAAGGATCACCCGGATTATAAATACCAGCCCCGGAGGAGGAAAAGCGTGAAAGCCGGGCAGAGCGACTCCGACTCCGGGGCCGAGCTCAGCCACCACGGCGGGACGCAGATCTACAAGGGGGACAGCGGGCTGGGGGGCATGGCCGACCCCCACCACCACGGGGACCACACAGGTAACGAGCCCCGAGGGCGAAGCGTCTGCCCGCCCTGGGTGGGTTGTTTGGGATACGAACCTGCTGGCGGGCACGGGCTCATCTGCCTCCCTGCACGGGTGTCGGTGGGATTGGGACCATCCCAAGGCAGGAGTGGAGGTGTTGCACCAGTTTGCTGTAGTGAAGGCTCCCAGAGCCGACTGTGCCGTAGGAAATCCCCAAAGCGCGTGGGTACCGTTTCCCCCGGCTGGTCCCAGAGCGGGGAAAATTAATTGCGAGTTAATAAGGGTTAATAATCAGGGTGCCTGGGGAGCGGTCCCAGAACTGAGCTCCCCCCGCAGCTCTGAGTTCCCCCCGGAGTGGTGCGCTGGCTCCGGGCGCGTGTTGACAGATTCCAGGAGGATTGCGAACCGTCCCGCAGCCTCAGACGCGCCTGTGCTCTCGCCCAGCCTGGCCGCGGATCCCGGCCCCGGGGCTGCTTTGCCTCTGGCACAGCCGGGCTGGCTTCTGGCTGCCTGTGGGGAGAGCAGGGCCCTCGGAACCCACCCCCTGGTTCTGCTTCCCCGGGGCAGGGCATTTGGTGTCAGGATGTCCCGCTGTGTCCCAAAATGATGCTGATGGCCACAGTGCATTCCCTGGCTTCTCCTTCCCACTATGAGCCAGCACCCGCTTTTTTCCACCATCCCTCGTTTGTACCCCAGGAAGGAAACGGTTTCTGGCGTGGTTGTGGGGGGCATCACCCACCTCCAACATGGGGCTGTAGGTTTAAATCCTACAGAGATGGGAGAAATGCCTTTTTTTTTTTAAATAGTCCTTGAAAGAATTGGGTGTCCTGTGGTCACTCTTTAAACCTCGCTGTCTCTCCGTCCCCAGGCCAGACCCACGGGCCACCCACGCCGCCCACCACCCCCAAGACCGACCTCCACCACGGCAGCAAGCAGGAGCTGAAGCACGAGGGCCGGCGCCTCGTGGAGAGCGGCCGCCAGAACATCGACTTCAGCAACGTGGACATCTCGGAGCTGAGCAGCGAGGTCATCAACAACATGGAGACCTTCGACGTGCACGAGTTCGACCAGTACCTGCCGCTCAACGGCCACGCGGCCCTGCCGGCCGAGCACGGCCCCGGCGCCGCCGGCTCCTACGGCGCGTCCTACTCGCACTCGGCCGCGGGCGCCGGCGGGGCCGCCCAGGTGTGGACTCACAAAAGCCCGGCCTCGGCGTCGCCGCCGGCGGCAGAGCCGGGCCAGCAGAGGCCCCACATCAAGACGGAGCAGCTGAGCCCCAGCCACTACAGCGACCAGTCCCACGGCTCCCCCGCGCACTCCGACTACGGCTCCTACAGCGCCCAGGCCTGCGCCACCACCGCCGCCTCCGCCACGGCCGCCGCCTCCTTCTCCAGCTCCCAGTGCGACTACACGGACCTGCAGAGCTCCAACTACTACAACCCCTACCCCGGCTACCCCTCCAGCATTTACCAGTACCCCTATTTCCACTCGTCCCGCCGGCCCTACGCGACGCCCATCCTCAACGGGCTGTCCATCCCGCCGGCGCACAGCCCCACCGCTAACTGGGACCAGCCGGTCTATACGACCCTGACGAGGCCTTAAAGGATGTGTGGGGCCCCTCCAGGGCTTCCCAGAAATGTGCACTAATGAAGGAACGAAGAGGAAGAGCCGTGGAGTGCCGCGATAAGTTTCCAAAGTGCCTCCTGAGCCGCTGGGAACTCTGCTCGTTGCGACTGGGTGTCCCCTTGCTTCGAAACTCTCCGAAAGGACAGAGCTCTATTTTTCTGTGATGAATATGATTTAAGGAAAAAAAAAAAAAAAAAAAAAAAAAAAAAAAAAAAAAAAAAAAAAAAAAAAAAAAAAAACAAAAGCAAAGGACCGGCGATGCCTTTTGAATAAATGAAGGACCGTTCGACTCCTCTGTGAGGACTGAACTGAACTTCCTCGAGGGGAAGGTGACAAGTGCAAAAGTGGAGCAGGGGGGTGGGAAAAAGGGGGAGAGAAAACAACGGGACAAGCCGTTTGAGACTTTAAAGGGTCTATTGCAATGTGAGGAACGGACCAACCTTGAGGGCAAGAACTCACTGGGACCAACAGGGATGAACCCCAAAAACCCGGCTATTCCATGGAACAATCCCGTGGGAACAAACCAGTCTGGTGGGACCAACCAATTCAATGTCTGAAGTGTTTGTTTTGCTTTTTTTTTTTTTTTTTAGTCAGGAGTTCTTCTAAGCAAGGTTTGGCTGTAATTAACATTTTGTTTTGTTTCTTTGGAAGCTTAAAATGGTTTTGGTTGTTTTTTTTTTTGGTTGTTGTT